CTTCAGCTGCTGCTGTGGAAGGGGGGTTTTTTGGCTATAGGGCGAAGTGGGCGAGCGAAAAGTGATTCTCCACTTTCGGATATGCAAGGTTTATTGTCTCATTTTTCGAACTTTTCATTCCGTAAATTAATACAATAAATTTAATGCTTAAGTCTGAAAACTAATTTATTCACAAATCTACATATGATGACAGGTGAGTTTTTGACATCAGGTAATAGAAAGGCAGATTGCTTTCGCAGTTGGAACAGTTGGCAGAGATTGATATCTTGAATAAGATTCCAAAGCAAATCTGATTTTTTGCAGAAGACCTCTCCAATCGGATGTAGTGTTAAAGTTCAAGAAGAGTGACGTCTTCGACGCGACACCTCATGTTGTGCTATTTAATGGTACTGCTGGCAGTGCAGTTATTGTTGTGACTGGCCGGAAGATAAGAAGTTCTGCTATTTTAGAAATTCAACAATGCAATTCTTCTAGCTCTCCACACGGTTGCCCTTTCGAGTATGGTTTTCACAAAAATTTTTCATTCGAGTTGGTATGGTATTTGTACTTTCATTGTTTTTTTATTCTATACTTTTGTTGATAAATGGTGAGACTTTTCAGGAATGTTAATCGCACATTTGTTAGTTTGAACGTCATTCACAGCAAATTATTATCTGTCGCTGTAGTCGTTGTTGGGTGGATTTACTTTGTAGCCTGGAGCATCTCATTTTATCCTCAAATATGTCTAAATTTTAAAAGGAAGAGGTGCGTTTTCTTTCACTGTTTTTTTCAGTTTTTATCAGAGTTACTGAATTCTATACTTGGTGTTTTTCACAACCTTTTCATTATGGATTTTCAGTGTTGTTGGGCTAAGTTTCGACTTCCTTTTACTCAATGTCATTGGTTTTGCATGTTACACTTTGTACAATGTTCTTCTCTTTTTCGATGAAGAAATAAAGGTGATTTTCACTATCAGTTTTCCCCTAACCTTGACACTGAGTTACATGATTAGCTTTTAAAGGTTTTCGTGCTTGTAGGATATATATCGTGAACTTCACCCACGTAGTCCGCCGCCTGTTCTGCTTAATGACGTCGTTTTCGCAGCGCACGCGTTTGCAGCTTGTTTGATTACTGCTCTTCAGTGCTTCTTTTATGAGGTATCTGTTTTATAGGGGCCACTGGTTCTGTGTACAGTTTTTTTGACAGTTTTTCTGTTGTGCTGTATTGCATTTATGTTTCTGAAATGCAGTATGCTTTTGAAGTGGCCTGAGATAAACAGACCATTTTCTGACCCTCAACTCTCTAGGCATGTAATTGTTGCTAAATTCGGCTAGCTTGAAACTGCAAAAAATATGTATTTCGGCTCTGTTCTGTTTTTATTCATTAAATTGATTGCAAAATCTTATTAATGTGATAATTTTATGTTATAGAGAGGAAAGCAAAGGATATCATACACGTGTATGGGGATATCGTCGGTTTTTGTTGTCTTTGCGATTGTCTCGCTTACCCTTACCGTGTTCCGAATGATCGATGCGCTAGAGTTTATTATGTTTTTATCTTATATCAAAATGGCAGTAACACTGTCAAAATACTTTCCACAGGTTTGTTTTAGAGCTCATTTCTCATTTTCATCTCATTTTGAGCTACAGAAGTGACTGCTAGTCGTCTACTAGCTTTTAAGATTTGCAGATTGTGTTAGGGAAGTGATGTTTTTCTTAATTTAATTTCTTGATGCTTGTTTTTTATGTCTGTCGTTGCCCTGGGTTCAAAAGCTAAACGGTTTTTTGAAGCGTCATTGAATCCTCTTTAATACTCCTTAAACAAACCCTTTTTCTTCGTAGTGGAGTATATCAGCAAACTTGTATAGAAAAGCTTTACATATTATGCGCTTGTATTATTATTAGCTTTGATCTTATTATCCAGTTCTCATTTTGCTATGTGTTTTTTGCCAGGTTCTTAGTTTTAAGAAGCACTGACAGAAGCAATAGATGGTTTTTAAGAAGGCATAGGAGTCAAACAGTTGTTAGGCTATTTGCAATTCGAGTCGGTTCAAATATAGCGTTGAAATCTTTGATTTTTCAATTGGAAAGATTGTTTGTTTGAGCAGTTCAAGTACTTAAAACACTATCTTTTGTGTCTTGTAGAAGTGCTTGACATGGTACTTTCGTCTGTTTTAACATCAAATAAAGGGTGGGGTTTCTCTCGTGAAATATCCGTTAAAGTTATGGTATTCCGTTTTACGGTTAAGCATGAGTGACATCGCTTTACTCTGCACTTTCTTACTCGCTTTAATTCTCTATCCTAGCAGGAATTGGGCCATATGAGTGCAGAAGAATTTAATGATTGAAATTAGCTAATATTTTGGATATTCTGAAAAGGTTTTAAGTCTTTTCAAAAAACAGTTCAATTTTGCGGTGGTAGGAATTCTGTGTTGGCCAAATGGCCAGCCCTTTTATAATTATTCGTTTCTCAGACTTTCAAGATTGGTTTGCTCTGAATTGCTGTATAGGGGGTTGAAGTTCTTACATGTTGGGTGCTTTTACTTCAGAATTATAGGCATTTTTTAATTTCCGAAGGAAAAGCACTGTCGGCTGGTCAATTGGCAACGTCCTACTGGATTTGTGTGGTGGCACGATGGACATATTTCAGATGATTTTACAAGCTTTGAATACAGGTTTTTTCTCTCTACTCATTGTTTTAAATTATTCTCTTAACTATGTCTGCCTAAAGAGATGTTTATTAAAACTAACTCATTTAGCTTTGTTTTACTACAGATGATTGGAGTGCATTCAGCGGCAATCCAGTGAAGTTTGGTTTGGGACTAGTATCTATAGTGTTCGACTTCGTATTTATCATACAACACTATGTTTTATATCGAAATGCTGGTTTGCAGCCTGGTAGGTCCTACGAGGATATTGGTGCGCAAAGTGCCACTGGGTCATCAAACATGAGCGATGAAGCAGAGTATGGAAGTACAGTTCCTATTCGGAAAGCATCCGACAGTGAGTCGTCTTGAAAGAAAAGTGCTGCTCGTCCCAATGTTATTGAAGGGCTACAAACAGTAACTTGTTTAGTTAGTGCTGATTTTGAAGCGGGTAGAAGCAGTAAATTCGGAACACTGTTTTAAGTAGACTTAATGCTTTATGAGGTCTCTGTAGTGAAGTAGTTTTCGTTCGCGAGCTTGTCATTTTATTGGTCACAAATGTTTTTGTTTTTCGTAAACTATTTATGATTAGAGCCATATTTCGGTCTTTTAGATATAAAATTTTGTGAGGAACTATTCCACGCATTGCAAAATGAATTTTATCTTTTTTTGAGGTTAGTCAAAACGAAGCTAGATTGGTTAGAAAAACTAACCATTCCACAGGATTTTCTGGGTGGTTTGTTAAGAAACTTGTCTGCTGCCATGCTTATTAATTTCATTTTCCTTTTTACCTTGGACGTTGGACAGCTTTACGTATTGTTTCAGTGCAGAGTTATTGAGTTGAGTAGCTTTTTGAAGTGCATTATGTTACCTAAATTGTAGTGCTCAGTATGCTTCTCGGTTTTCTTTGGAGCGTCCTTCTTTCACCTTTTTATCAGCCTGCTCCGGACTGATTTCTCCCCGGCTAAGTAACTCCTTTCTTCCTTGAATCATTCCTTTATCTCATTTTGTCTGTGCTATTACTGGTTTTCATGTTGGAATTCTTATCATTTGCCTTGTGCTCTTGTACATAAAACGGTTCTGTTTCACAGACTAACTGTCAGTAACAAAACCTGGTTTTTTCTTTGTTGAGAAATGGTGTTTTATGCGTGAAATTGGTTTCCTTCGAGGAACTGTGCATAACTCTTTTTGCCAAGAAAGGACGCGTGTTACGCGGAAATAGGTCTTGTTTAGCAATGTCAGTTGAAAACGGGTCTCGCTTTTCTTTCTTGGGAATTAGTTCTGTTTCGGAACCTCAACAATCGGCCGTACTTTTTTGGAAGTATCTAGTGCTTTAAGTTGATTGTATGCAATTTTGAACCCCTGTACACCTGATCTGCATTTCGTAAAAACTTTCTAACCTTTGGTTCCTAATGCCACTTCCTGAATGCCTTCATCTTGTATAAATCAGACATCTGCATAAAACTTTTCAAATGAAAGGTTCGAGAGCTGTCAGTTTTTTTTAGAGCCATGCCATGCATAGAATCGCGTGGAGAGCAGAGCCGAAAACACGAGGGCTTTTCGGCTACCGGTGAGGTAATCATTTATATACAACCACAGGTGCCACCGCTAGAGCGAGTACAATACTATGGGACTTCAGTATCAAAGCCGATATCTCTTACGAAAAAAAAAAGAAGCAGCAGTCACCGGCAATGGGACAGTAAGCGATAAAGAGTACGTCTGCAACACGGTGCTCTTTAGGCTCCTGGTAAATCTCTCGCTGAATGTCCGTTAACAAAAATAGGCATCAAGCATCTTGAATTACTTCATAGTACGGTTTGAAAGAACAACGGAAAATAGATCAAGGCATTTCTTCCATGTCATACAGTCCTGAAAAATATAGTTACGGTAGACAGGAAATTGATCAGTCAAATTCGATATAGTTAGAGCAGTAACAATTAAGTGAGCGAAATATCTGGTCCAAATAGCGTAGAAAGTAAAACCTTGCAAAGATAAATGGGGAAGTTGGTGCCAAAACCAAAATATGGCCTTCGGCGACATCCGAAAAGACACCTTTTTTGAATCTAATTTCTATTGATGCGGCTTCAAAAAAATGGAAGATTCTTCACTTTTTATGACATATACCACCTATGTTAAGTTTCTAGACTGTCCAAAAAACAATTTGCGTCTCTCTCCCTCCTTTCAAAAAAAAAAAAAAAGAATTTGATACACACAGCATTAGCATGAAAAGTAGAGGTGTTAAGGCCACCAACAGGAGGAACTAGATTCGTGTCAGCAAATAATTTCCATTCATGTGGCTTCAACAAAATGGAAGATTTTTCACTGCTGTCTTTTATCTTTATTATCCAATTCTCTCAATTTCGCGATGAATCTTCGAAATTCTTTGATCCAAAAAGTTCTTCCTCTATTTTACGCCGGACGAAGGAAGGCAACAGGTGGAATCTTATTAAAAACACATCCAAAGGTGACAACAAAATAAAAACTTCTTTTAGGCTTAGTGGGCTGATCAGAATTTTTGCAAGCATAAAACACCAGATTCAACTGTTAACAGAAGTCAAAAAGCTGATTGGAACCCTCGAGGACGAAAAAACAGAGAGCGAAGGCCAAGTGACTGAGGAAGTCAAGTGATTCCGCTTAAAAGGCAAGAGGCGATTTTAGTAAATTTTAAAAACTAGACAAATCGCCATCCACAGGATAAAAGTATGCATGACGAACTTAGGCGAGGGCTCATTTAGGATTCTTATTCCGCCTCTTCCGAACCACTTATTAACATAACGTTATAAGTAGAAACAATCAGACCGGGTCTTCCGGCATATAAATAAATCTTAGGGAAGTTGAAACACTGAAACATTTGAAGCCGATAAGTTTTTCCCTGCAAGAAGCGTTCGCTACACGATTTCTAGAAGAAACTGGGCTTAATTAAATTATAACCACTTTGAATTTCTTGGATAGGAATGGAAGCATAACGAACATCATTTACAAAGAAAATGGATGCGAAGAACGAACCTCTGTAGCCTTAGAGTATGCAATTATGGGAATCTGTCTCAAACTTCTAGCGCTTACACCTGCATTTTTCCTGCAATTATCAAGTGTAAGGCATTCTACAAGGAAAATATTGCAGAGTGAATTTGCCAATTAACGTTTACAACATCTGACTTACTTGGAGAGTTCCGACAAACCATCAGCAAATGATGCTTCTGAACTTTCGGAATAAAAACGCTCCACTATTCCAATCTAAAGCACAAATAAAGTTATGCATCTGTACTGTTACCTCTATCTAAATTAGTTTCAAATATACCCTTTGCATTTCTTCAATGCAGGAGTAGAGAATACGATACACTGCGGATGCTGAAGGACGGCCAATCCATCGACAAATGTCTGCACGGTCAATAAACGCT